TAAATTGTGTTCTGGTAATATGTAATGTATGGCAGCTCGCTTGTAGAAGCATTATTCAACGATATTATTTCGGGTGTTAAGTTTGGGGATTTTCCGAGGCATGATTCAGAAAATTTGCGTTATCGTAAGAGTAACCAGTTGCATTATTGTCATCAGCAGACTCAGCATATTGGGGGTTATACTTAGACTTGGAATCATATAGTTGGTCAAAATTAGATGAATCGTAGTATAGGGATTCTGGGTCACTTTCGTTAATGTCAACATGAGGTTCGTTAACGTCGTCAACTACGTTCGTATTATATAGCTCTTCAGCTATGAAATTACTTGGTTGGTTGGACTGGAAATAATTTCTAGAAGGTTGTTTAGCATTGGCATTGAAGGTTTGCCTCGAAGTTGTTGACATAGGAGTAGGTTTTGGGAAAGTTCTATTTTAATTGGGTTTAAATACATTTGTTGAGTTTGTGTTGGATTTATTTTTGAATACTTGGGAATTGGTAGGGAATCTTTGTGAGATTTTGTTAAAATTTGGTTTCACAGCAATAGGCTGAGATGGAAATGTTGGCTTAGCTGTAAATAAATTGTTAGATGTTTGGCTATTAAATTCTGGGTTAAAATGTGTGTTTCTAAATTGTGTGTTTGTTTTATTGTGTTGTATGGTTTTTTGTGTATGAGATTTACAAAAATTCTGAAAATATTGAGTGTTATACTCATCAGTAAGAAATTGTAGAGCTTGCGGAAGGTCTCGTGGACGCATGCAATGAATTGTCGTGCCTAATGGTTCCCTTAGGCCCGATAAGAATGTTTTTAAAGCTAAATCATTGTATAAATTACGTTTCAGCAATTTTGCAGCGTCATTTGTTTCATGAATATCCACGTAGGAACATAAAAGATTTAAAATATGTAAAATACGATCGTAATATTGGCTAGGTTTTTCACCATTTTGTTGCCTAAGCATTACTAAATCGCGATTTAAACAAGCTTCATCGCGCTGGTCAGCAAAATGCCTGCTCAAAATAGTTTCAAGTTGGTCCCAAGTTGTTACATTTTGGGTTCCCAAAACTAATTTTGCGTTACCGGTTAATTTACCGATTATCGAGCTCAGCAAGTAAATGTTCTGAAAACTATCTGGTCGAGCAGCGTTATAGAAAGCATCGATGAGGCTTTGACATACTGATAAATATCTTTTTAAATCATTCGGATTTCCGTCAAATTGTGGTAAACAACTAAGGTACTCTGGCTTGAAATGAGCCATATTGTTAGAGTTTAAATTCGGAACAATGCAAATGTTTTGATTATCAAAAGATGTGCTTTTGGCACCGTTACTTTCAGAAAATGTTTGATTAATTATTCTAATTAAATCTTCCGAATCAGAAGATGAATCAGTTGAAGGCGGTAATGATAAATTATTCAATTTTTCAATTATTTCATCTACGTCAGACATAAGTTGAATTGCACTTACAGACTGAATAAGAAGAATTTCATTGCTATAAGTCCCAGAGGTTTGGTTGGCGATATGGTCCTTCCAAATGGTTCTTGGTCCTTGCGAGGATTGGACAATTTGGTTCCAAACTCCGATTACTTCGAGGTAACAGGTTCACGATGAACTGGGTGTTTCGATATCTAGAAAGCCACTCTGACACCTCACAGTAAACAATTAACGTAAGTCCGTTTTTTCCGGTTAGTCCGAATACCGAAGAACCGATAAACAGTCCCGAAAAAACACGTCCTGTCGACTGCGCCAGTTAATAAGTCAGCAACCGAGGGTTGGTTTTTAAAAAATTGACTTCATTAACAATTTGAAATTATTACTAGCGAAAGCACGTTACAATAAAAGTTATAAGTATAATAAATTTCAACTGACTAACTATCCTAAGAAAATACATATATTTATAATAAGCTGAAAAGCAGAATAAGCATTTTAAATGAGGACTCAGCAAATAGACGTGATATAACTAGTATGACGAAAAATTTAGAACGAAACGGCCGATAATTCTGAATAAGCACCTCGGCTGATTATATAGGTAATCCAAACTTCAGCCTAGGCCGTTATTTGCACGATAATTGTATTGCGTCGTGTATCAAATGGAAATTATAATATTTAATTACAGAATAATAAACTTAAAATATATACTATTTATTTTGATTCTCTTGGGATTGAACAACTAATCTAAAAAATAGTAATTTGTTTTAAAAATAAAATACGTATATATACATTACCCGAATCAACCCGAATGTTTAAAGGTCCTGGTCATAGGTTATAAAATGCTATCATTTATATTCTCAAATTTTGATTTTCATATTTCTACGAACATCATTATCGGCCTGATAAAAATAAGAAAGGGCAATGCAAAGTGATTGAAAACCAATTATGTGAAATGCGTTTGTATTAGTATTTTTCCTCCGAATTTACATACGTTAAGTGCAAGTTATAAAAAAATAATCAAACCTGACATAATTTTAATAACCTATTAATTTCGCCTAAATGAATTAATTAGGTATTTAAAAATTACTCTCGAACAAAAAATAAATAAATTAATAAATTCTCCTATGCAAAGATCGTGTGCGATATACAATTTAACATGCAATTAGGCAATTATATGCATTTAGTTTGCATCATAAAAAGGTATCTATTTAATTATTATTAAGTTATTTACCTTATACATTAGGTGCCTTTTTACAATATGACGTCTTTATGTCCGAGCTTTAATCACAGGCTATTAACTTTTATTCTAGAACCTAGTAATTTACACCTATTAGTTTAAAGTTTTGCTTGATATGACAGTTTTGATTTGTAAGTTTCCTAGGAAAACTTATTAGAATGAAAATTTTCCTATTTTTTACTACTAGGTCTTGCAACAATTAGACTAATAATTTCCTTTAGAAGCCTAGAATTAAAGAAAATTACATGTTTTTACTATCTAGAATTTTCTTTGTTCAAATTATGTTGTAATATTTTAAATGTCACTGATTGGTTCAAATAATTTTTCTATGTAGGTCATCTAATTACTCCCTCAATTTCTCGTCATAACATCTTTATTATGTAATTACCAAATCCCTGTACAGACTTGGTGAAGCTCGTGTGAAAATAATTTATAATATAAATTGTCAGTCTATAAAGTCTTTCGATTGACGATCTCCAACCATCTCTGTAAATCCGCATCCTCCAAGCCTCTAATTTCCTCGTCCGCTCCACTTCTCTAACCTCTTCTCGGTCTGCCGCGTCTTCTTCTTCCTTACTCACACTCAATGTTTTGCTTGGGTATTCTCATATCTGCCATTCTTTGTAACTATATATCAAAACCAAATCAGTTTTCTGTCTTTGATATCATCTACTTCGCGTTTTACATTCATAATTTCTCCAGCACTCTTCCTCCTTTCTATTTCTGACTTGACAGCATGCCGCTCTCATCCAGAAATCTATAATATTAATAATATAAAAATACGTTTATTAGCAACATTCTGCCACAATACACTAAAATACTACGATATAAGGGCCAAATTATGGACTGACTGGTAAACGTCTGGTTGTTACTTAGCAGGTACTTTCTATGCACAAAAGAATAGAAAGTACCTGCTAGCATCCAGACACTTACCAGTTGGTCCATAATTTGGCCCTAACAATCATAAAATATGCAAACACTAACTGTAGTTTTCTTTTGTTATATTCCACTGCACCACTATAAAATAATGAGTTCTGCGTACCTGTCTTCTTAACAGTAGGAACATATAAATTTGATGAGGACCTAGTATCATGATAGTGAACTTCATCAACCGGCTATCAATGATTCTACCCAAATAAATTTCATCAACATATTCCTTCCCCTCCTAACCATACAACTCTAATTTAGCAACATTTTGATTCAACTTAGAGTTTTTAGTATCATAACATTAGTTTTTTTGACATTGAGAAACAATTTATTCTTCCTAAGCCACTCTTCAACGTTTTTCAATTCATGGCACATTTTACTAACTGCAACATCAACATTTGGATCGCTAACAGAAATCACGTATCATCAGTGAACAAATTAACTAAAGTACTCTTACAAAAACATTCACCTATATCATTGATGTAGGATGTAGATCAAGAACAATATCGGTCCCAGCACAGTAACTAGGCACTCCATATTTGATCAACTTTTTTTCAGGCAAAATTTCATTTACTTTTGTTACCTGATATCTTCCTGACAGGTAGTTTTCGAAACATTTGTAGGCTTTATTACTAATCCCATATTTTGCCAGCTTGACCTTCAAATATTCTAATAACTGGTCTTTAAGGTGTATCTCCAAGAGTTTCTCGATTATAGGTACCATATTAATTGGCCTTAATTCTTCTACCTTTTTGGTGTTGGTAATTTCAGGAATTGGGCTCACTACCGAATAAGTTTTGAAATCATCAGGAACTACAGCCTCTGAAATTGACACATTTAACATTTCAGTAACTCTGCCAATTAAAATATCTTCCCCCTTTTGGAGAATTTCTAGATCGATGCCATCAGTAGAAGACTGTTTCTTAATTCTCTTTATAAGATTCTTTGTATCAGTTATACTATTGTATGGTTATACTCAAGCCTTTAAATTCACTCAAAAGTGTTGTTTTCTTTTACTGGCTCATTAATGATGTTGGGCATGATCACTACAGTATCTGAGATAATAATATCTTCAATACTGTCAATGAAGTAGGTACCTAATTGTTAAATGTTTCTGCCATGTCCCTTATTGAAATAATCTTTCTATTGTTATGTACGACATATTTAATTTCGTTGTTAGGTCTTTTGTTGCGTTGCCCGTTAATTCCTTTATATTTCTCCACATTGCCTTGCCATTATTTCTGTTCTGGTCTATTACAAGTTCATAGTGTTCTCTTTTCTTTCTTCTAATTAAGTTAGTGCCTGTCTTACTTCCCAATATCTTGCTCGATAATATATTTTATTTCTAATTTGTAGTTGTGTTTTCACCTCTTCATGAATCCATGGAGTTTTTTGGTACCCGCACTTCTTTTGTTACACTGGCGCTATCTTATCTAATATGAGATTCACATTGGTATACATATTTTTAGTCAATTCAATAACATTTCCTTCCTCCAACCACATCTGATTTTGAAGCATTGTCTGAAAATTGTGGCACTTAACCTTTCTTTTATTACGGCCTATTCTGGAGAAGGTGAGCTTGGTTCCCTGTACACCCTTATTTATGATTATCTGAATATCGTGATCACTTGATTTAGGTCTTCTCAACACATTTGTGGTAGTAGCCTCATTATTTGTAAATACATCAATTGTACTTTTTGTATCTTTTGTTGTAACTCGGGTATATTCTGTAACTTTCTGTTTAAGGCCAAATAAAGCCATTAAATTTACCAACTGGTCTTTTTGTAGAGACGCTTTTGCCATGTCAATGTTCAGGTCACCAGTCCCATAAACCTGTTTATTCTTAATTGGAATGCCTTCAAGAAATTCATCCATAATATGTGCAAAAAAGTCAGCTGCATTAGAATTCGGTGATCTATACACTCCCACAAAGATGTTCTGATCAATGCATATAAAGTTCTACTGTTAGCAATATATTTATTATGTACAAAACAAATAACAGAGCAAGTATGTCTAGTACTTGAATTACATCTAATGCAAGAATAGTTACCAATATCTATCTCGTGTGAAACTACGTCCTCTGTGATACGAGCCTCTGTCAGTATTGCAATGTCGATTCTTGTCTCTACTATGTATTCCTTCACTTCATTCAACTTGTTTAAAATACTCTGTACAGGGTGGTTCAAATTGGACACTTTCTTATGGAAACACCCGTTATTTTTAGAGATAGAAAAAAATAGACTCCCACTCTGAGGCTCAAATTTCATGAAATCATGATTGGTGCAAACCGCATTTTGATATTTTCAACCGTTTAGCCGCTAGAGGGCGATTCTTGATTTTAAGGAACACTCTGAAGCACCTTTTTAAGTAGAGTTCAGTGACGTTCTCAGTTTCTTTATATTTGGCTCCGACTTCGAGATATTGACCAAAATCCGATTTTTTTCAATCGGACATCCTATACATATATTAAGAGCTCATTGGAAAGCTTTGCTTTTTGCCGATTTCAATGATATAAATTTCGGTAGGTTTATCTCCAACGGTTTCCGAGAAAAAAAATTATTTCGGTTTTTGTTATAAGAAACAATGTGTTGGAAAAGGACTTTATATCTGCATATCTGTATGGAAAATGAGAAAGGTCTCTTTCTAACACATTTTTCTCATGACAAAAAAAAAAGATTTTTTTTTTTCTCGAAAACTGTTAGGGATAATCCTATCGACCTTTATATCATTGAAATCAGCAAATGCAGAGCTTTCTAATAAGCTATTAATATAGGGTGTCCTATTAAAAAAAAAAACGGATTTTGGTCATGGCATTTATATTTTCTCTCCTAGCATTCGTTTTCATCATGATCGCCACTATATCTTAGGCATGCTCTTTTTTCAGTACAATCCTTTGCCATGTGGTTGAACCCATAACACTTATGTTATAACACATCAGTATTCCAATAAATTCCTAAACCCTACACCTTACAGGCTAAGAAATATTCCGTTTATTTTTAAAAGCATTTCGAAAGTTTTTATATCTACCTCAGCCATTATACTGAACATTTTCTTACGGTTTTCAGAGATATTCAATATATTGAAAAGGAAATCATTTGGCTGGGTATCAATTTTGTTTTGCTGTATAATTTTTGACTTTAGAAGCTCTTTATCTCCGGGTAAGGACTCTGGTATGCCAACAATTTTAATCCTTGGGTTTGTTTTCTTTGGATGTGAAACTTCATTATCTGTTCCCAAGTTCAGTTCTATGTTGTTCCCAATATCTTCTGCACTTGCATTGTTTTCATACTCCAAAATGCATCCTCCCTTCTTGATATTCCTGCCTATTTGCACTTTGGATTCGATAGCTTCAATATCAATATTATTAACCAAGTCGCTTCTGATTTCTTCTGCGCTCTTGTTTCTCTTTGTCTTCACAATTAATATCTTTCTCTCCTTAGCTTTACATTTTTCACTATACAACTCTCTTTGCAGACATTTATGAGTCTCCACTGATAACTTCTGTACCTCATTCTTCTCCCTTTTCAGCTGATCAATTTCATTATTCAGAAGATTGATTATTTCACTTTTATCTCCGATTATTACATCCTTACTTGATATAACCTCTCTTAAAAGTTTGTGTGTTTTTCCCTCCACCCAAGCTGAACAATGGAAAAACATTTTACGACCTCCTGCAAGTTGCAGCACCTTAACTTCAGAGGCCGTGAGGCCCCCACAGCTCTTAAATACTGATTTTCTACACGCATCACACTGAAAAAGGCTTTCCAGGAGAGTTTGTTTTTGTTTACAAAAGTCGCAAATCATCTTTGAGATTGAGAAATGATAAATTGTAGATTACTATTCAAATGCAGATATTTAATTACATCAAACTGACTTTTTGCTTGAAACTCTTCATCTAACCATTTTCACTAATTCTATACGCTAGTTTCTTTCTCTTTCCTATCACCCGACTCAAACTGAATAAGTGCTCTACTGTTGATGTTCCTGCTCTAATACCGGCATTTTCCATCATATACCCTGCTTGGCGTATTTATTACTTTAATGCCTCTGCAGTTTACGCATTTGTTTAATTGTATTCTGTCTCCTCTCTCATATGTTATCGTTGGTAAATGCGGCTTTTTTTCCACTCTCTCGGTACCTAACTTGATGTCTATCTATGCACGTTTGGCATAGTTTTGTTAGGTGTTGGTAATCTTTATCGATCTCATACTTTATAAGCTCATCTGCTTATTCTCCTGGCGCTCTTCAATTTTTCAAGAAGCTACATTGTTTTTCAACTTCTTACTTCTTAAGTTTTGATGGTGATCCTTCGGTTTTTATGTTTTGTGTGTGTTCTCCTTCTTTGAACTCTTCCCATTGTTCCGTCAGTTATTCTTCGAAATACTCTTTCCATGTGTTTCTACATACCTATTTCTTTTCACCTGTTTTGCTTGAACTTAGATAGGTACTGCTGGCATTCCTTCCTTTTGTCTGCTACGTCTTTCTTGACTTTCTTCATCCTACCAATAAGGTTACTCTGCTTCCAACTTTCGCATATATGTCTAAGGCTTCAAATGCTGCACTGATGTGAATACTTGTTTTGATTTGCTGGTAATGTATTTCAAAGTTTCGAAAGTTCAGGCTACTCTGTAGTTCTCTAGTTTTTTCATGTATAACTCCTTCACGCTTTGTTCTTCTAGCGATTTTAGGATGTTAAAGTTTTCTACCTGTTCCATTTTTCATGGGCATGAACTATTTTTAGTGTCTTGCTAAAAGCAATTATTTTCATGAATAAGCTGTTTCCTGAAATGGAAAGTCGTCTTCACACCTTCGGATCATCCAGGTCGATAAATCGTTTCTTTGGAGTTTGGATGCTGGGACTTGACTGTCGAGTGCCAAAAGGAATAAATGCCCTTTACCAGGAGGCAATAACCTATGCCCCTGAAACTACACGATAAAAGTTTCAAAGAAACCTCTAGTCACTGTAGATTGAAGATTGCGGGGGAGTCGTTTCGGCTTTTCAGCCGCTCAGCACTGCTACCTTTGCAGATATTTTGTACATGACTCTACATCTCAAATTGTCTCCAGGAAGCGTAGACTTCTGCCGAAGGAAGCTATTTTCCTGGGTGTTAGTTGGCCCACTTCTTCTGGTGACAGTTTTGCCCCCTCGAAAAATTTGATCCCCTTGCAGAATTGGGCTGGACATTCGCAGAGCAGGTGCTCTGCGGTCTCTATTGCATCTGAGCAGAATCTGCAGAGATCGTCTTCCGCTCTGCCCATTAACCTTAAATGGTATTTTACTGGGCAGTGTCCTGTGAGCAGTCCCACCACCAATCTGATGTCTGGTCTGCTCATGCTTAGGAGCTGTTCAGCTCTTTTTGCTGAAAGGGTAATAAACCTTTTAGACTGTCTGAGTCCCGGTGTGTGCCTTCAGTATGATGACAGTTGGTCTTTCTCCCATTTATTGAGTTCTTCCATGATGTGGCTTTTCATTTAGCCACAGTAGGGCTCTGGTCCATGGTATGGTGCTGAGGCCCCTTCCTTTGCGAGGCCATCTGCTTCTTCATTACCTTCTATGCCTCGATGACCAGGCAGCCACATCAGCGTTACCTGGTTGTGTGTTGCTAGTGTTTTTAGGGTCTGTTTACACTCCCAGACTAGTTTTGACGTGCATTTGAAAGCCCTTAAGGCTTTTAAGGCAGCTTGGCTGTCCGATAGTATAAAAATGTGTTTTCTTTTGAGGCTTTGGCTAAGACACTCTTGTGCACATATATCTATGGCAAGGAGTTCGGCTTGAAATATTGTAAGATGTTTACCCAATGCCTTGGAGAGCTTGAAGTTAGGGCCGGAGATGCCCAGTCCAGCTCCTTCCATTAGCTTGGATCCATCTGTGTACCACAGAGATGCATTGTCTGCTAGTGGCAATTCTTTATTCTCCCATGATTGGCGGTCATTTATTACTACTGCGAATGGGATCTCTAAGTCCAATCTGACCATCATGTGGTCGCTTGGTTTGCTGGCATTCTCCAGTTTTATTAAATCAAGGATTCGCAGATGTCCCCTCAGATCACCAGGCTTGAACTTATCTATTTGGAATAGCCTGTGAGCGCTGGTTATTGCCTCCTTTTTCACACATAGATGAAGTGGGGGCATGTTCAGTAGCGTCTCTAAGGCTGCGGTGGGGCAAGTTGACATTGCTCCCGTTATTCCTAGACATATCAGCCTTTGCACCTTTCTGAGCTCCATCTGAGCAGTGACTTGTTGGATTTTGGGCCACCACACCAATGAGGCGTATGTGACCATGGGTTTTATTATAGTTTGGTAAATCCAGAATACCATCTTTGGCTTCAGCCCTCATGTTTTGCCAACAAGTTTTCGGCATAACCAAATGGCTGATGTAGCTCGAGAGCATGTTTTCTCTAACTGTTTGTTCCAAGTGAGGGTTCGGTCCAGGAGACCCGTAAGTACTTCACTTCGTTGGAAAATGTTAATTGTGTACCGTTAAGGGTCGGGGCTTTCAGATTTAGCCTCCTTTTTCTTGTGAACGGGACAAGGATTGTTTTGTTTGCGTTTAGGGATAATCCTTCGCCTTCGCTTCAATTTTTAACGATGTTTAGGGCACTTTGCCTTCGGCTTGTCACTACGCCTTCATGTTTGCCCTTGATTATAATGGCTAGGTCATCTGCGTAGCCTATGACCTGGTATCCAGCACTACTCAGTCTGGTAAGAATTTTGTCTACCACCAGTGTCCATAGTAGTGGAGAAAGAACATCCCCTTGAGGACACCCTCTGACCGTGGTAGCGGTAGCTGATGCTCCGTTTATTTCAGCCGTAACGTGACGGTGTTTCAGCATCGACTCTATCCATTTTACAATTGGAACTTCAACATCCCATTCTTGTAATACTGTGGCGATTGATTGATGTGAGGTGTTGTCCAAGGCACCCCTATATCGATGAAAGCTGTGAGAGCCATCTCTTTGAACTCGATTGTCTTTTCAATGTCTTCAACCAGGCAGTGTAAAGCACTTATTGTGGATTTGCCTGGCTGATAAGCAAATTGCTTCGAGTAGAGCGGTCTTCTCAATAGAGTTTCGCTTCTGATGTACTGGTCGATTGCTTTCTCCATTGTCTTAAGGAGAAAGGAGGTTAGACTAATGGGACGATATGATTTTGGTTCGTCCTCTGGTCGGCGACCCGTTTTTGGTATGAATATCACATTAGCTTCCCTCCAAGATGTCGGTATGTGCCCTAGGAGCAGGCTTGCCTTAAAAAGCTTTTGTAGGTGTGCCTTCAAGTACTCGTAGCCTTTTTGCAGTTGTGCGGGAAAAATTCCGTCTTTGCCTGGAGATTTGTAGGGTCTGAAGCTATCGATCGCTCATTTTATTCTGTTCATTGTGTAGATTTTCCCAGCCAGCCTTTTGCTCCTGTCGTTAGGGCTTTGTGGCCCTTCGATAGGCGGAGTGACCTGGTTCAGGGCTTCAACGATTACCGAACCTGGAAAGTGAGTTTGTAGTAGTACCTCTAGACTTTCTGTATGGTCGGTACAGTGTTCTCCATTTGGCTTTTTAAGCAGACCAATTCCGTTTGAGTGGTTTTTTGAAAGAACTTTTTGGAGACGTTGAGCTGGGGCTAATTCGTCAAAAAGTTTCTTCCTCGAATATGAATTCTTAAAATAGGTAACGTGTCCGAGCGCTTTTTTTTTAAATCGACCTTAAACCCTAAAACGCCTCTGTTGTCATGTTCGCGTGAAACACACTGTATATTAATATTTTTCAAAGAATTTTGGAAAATATTTGAAATTTTCAAAGGAAAAAACCCATATAAATGCCAATGTAATATATCTTGTGTGTCTCTGCCAAGGTGCGTAATATGTTTTGTCTTCTAGAAGGGCTTTTGTATTTGTGTTTCTATTCGTCGGTGAATCTCGGATAGTAGAATACGGAAAGTCAACGACGTAGCTATAGCTTTTACATGGGGGTGGGGGGGGGGGGTGGTTTAGAGCAGTGGCAGCTCGTGGTCTATGCTGGAAAGGGTTCCAATTTTAGACCAGACGATGTTTAGGTATAACCGGGCATAGCCGCCGGAGGATATTGCAGGTCATTGGATATTGCCGACGGCGAAAAAACTTTTCGGGTAAAAAATCCAAAAACCTTTATTTTTCTTAAAAAAAATTATTTATTCAGTTCAATGAGGGGGGGGTTTGAACCCCCTTTCATACGTCCTTGCGGAAAGTTCATATGTCATACAACAATCCGAATTGAAAATTCCATTATTTGTTTTGCATAGGGTTTCCAAAAAAGCTAAAAGGGATACTATAAGCTTTCCGAAAGATAGTTCTAGAAAACGTAAAGTATTATCTGCTTCCACCTCTATTGTAAACTATATGTAAAAATGTATTCAGCTCCGATCTTGGGACTGTCCATCCAACAAAGATGTCGTTAACATATCTCTCCAGAAAAATATGTTTCGAATATACTCGTTGTCCGTTAATAGCAAATAATTTTCAGTGTGCACGTGTGCTTGTGCATGCCAGGTCAAAGAAAACAAATCTGTGGAGCCTTTCCTCCATTGAAAGTAATCTAGACCATAGACCATCAAGTTTAGAAAATCTAAATTCAGAAAAGAATTTTTTCAAGGATATAATGATCTAGTTTGTTTTTTCCATCTCTAAACTATAATAATGTTGAACTAAGGAGTCTTTGGCGATTTGAATCAATTGTTAGCGTAGTATACTTTAGGTAATGTTCACTATGTTAAAAGACATCAGTATTTTTAAATTTAATACGGAATTTGTTCAAGAAGTCTTATCTCTTGTAGGATCTAAG